TATCAACATCTGGGCAACTTTCTATTTCCTTGTATTCTCGCTCGTGTAAGTGATTAATAACGTGTTTAAATGCAATTTGTTTCACAATCGACCAAGCTAAATAAAAACGGTTCTCGAAGTAAAAGGAAAAATAGTGATTTGCCACTTAAATTTATCATTTGTTGACTATCGAAAAAACTGCATTGATGTTTCTAGTCAAAAATTGTAACAATTTAAAGATTTTTTTAAAATAATTTGCCTGTTTCCCAGTTGCTATGTGAGTGATCTGTATAGAAGTGTTAGTATCCCAACTAACACAGAAGTGGTATTAGTCATTGTAATTTGTTATGGTTCATGTAAAAATGAGACCATAAATTCTTCATTGGACGAAAAAATACTATGATTTAGAGTTTATGATGTTACTCTACAGGGTCGGTCATTTTAATTTCACCAGCAGTTATTTTGGAAGGGGGGTCATTTCGTGAGAATTAATAATTAACCTTAACAAAAGTTATTCGGTTTGCTGGGGGTCACCTGGTGATGACCTAGGGTTTGACCTTGACCCATATTTTCGGTAATTTGAGGGTCAACTTATTTTGTTACATAAAAACGTCTATGTTTCACTTCAGAAATGAAAAGAGCGGAAAATATTTCGTCTGAATACATAGTTTGGTTTTTGGTAAAGGTGACCTTTGAAGATCATCCCAAGGACAATTTTACATCTCATTCATAATTCAAAAGTATAATGAATTTTTAAGAGTGATTCTGCTGCTTCAGAGGTTGTGAACCTTGAATTTTACCTTGACCCTTTTCAAGGTCATTGGGAATGTCTACTAATTTATTTTAACAAAAACGACTATCTTCACTTTAGAAGTGAGAATAAAAGAAAATTGTACGTCAGAATACATAGTTTGGTTTTTGGTAAAAGTAATCTTTGAAGATCATCCCAAGGACAATTTTACATCTCATTCATAAATCAAAAGAATAATGAATTGTTATTAAAAGTGATTCTGCTACTTTAGAGGTTGGGAACTTATGACCTTGAATTTTACCTTGACCCTTTTCAAGGTCATCGTGAATGTCACTAATTTATTGTAACAAAAACGACTATCTTCACTTTAGAAATGAGAATAAAGGAAAATTTTACGTCAGAATACATAGTTTGGTTTTTGGTAAAAGTAACCTTTGAAGATCATACCAATGTTGATTCTGTATTTCTTTTGTAACTCGAAATAGTAAAATATAATAAAAAAACGTAAAAATCTGTTTGAAGTCAACTGTTTTTTTAAATGATAACCCCTACTTTTAGCAGGTCTTGAAGTTTCTTTATTATTCTTTACTATTTCGACTTACAAAAAAGATGAATCACTTTCACAAAAAACCAAACTATGTGTTCAGATGTAAAATTTTACGCTTTTCATTTCTGAAGTGAAAAACAGACGTTTCTATTAAAAAAAAATAAGTTGACCTTCAAAAGATGTTGAAAATATGAGTCAATGTCAATTCCAAGGTCATCAAGGGGTGACCCCCCATCAAACCGAACAACTTTTGTTATGGTTTATTTTCACGAAATGACCCCCCTTCCCCCCAGGAAGTATGGAAATAATTGACTGGAGAAATTAAAATGACACCTGTATGGCTGTATATAACAATTTTAAAGTCACTTTGACGTTCTGGTGCCTGTAGTTCAAAATTAAAAAGTAATTTTTCGTCCAATGAGGCACTTGTAGTCTTAATCTCTAATCCTAATCTCTCTACTCCTAACAATATTTTTCAATGACTTTGATATTAGTATTGTTGGGATTTTTTTAATTGGTTGCTCAAAAACCAAGTCCCGGAAATTCGGCGCCTTTGGTCAACATTAACGTTCTTTAAGGATAGTTAAATATTCCTATTTTGATTTCAAGACACTGTAATAGTTCCGTAAGAGCATCCTATCATCTTCATCTTTTCAGAGAACGCGAAATGAAAAATTCAATCTGAGGAATATAAGCGGGAATATTTCCGTTATGTAGAGCTCGAATACCGAGACGAATTCAAGTAATTGGATCGAATACTTGAGATGCACTCTAGGTTCTAAATATAAAGTGGATGCCTCTGGGTTCTATTTCGTTTAGATTTTCCGGGAAGTAATCGCCTTACAAATATAAAGCGTTCGTTAACTTTTTTTAGTAGGTTGTCTAGGTCATATTTCAGTTACGTCAGGAGTAAATTTAAAAAAAAAACAAGAAAGGTTTAAATTTATAACAGGAAGTAGAGTAATCTCCCAAGTATTTTTATATACTGTATAACTAAAAACAGAAACTTATTGTTTTTGAGATTCGGGTAAAATTACTTACTATCCAGGGTGATTCAGTCATAATTCATTAATTTTAAGGAAATATAAAGATTTTAAATGCATATTTACGCGGAAAAAAATATTTTCAAATCATTATTTAACTCCTTTTCGGACCGCTCCTGATCCACTAAAAGCGAGATTGTCTTTCGTCGATAAATTCGAATTTCTCATCCCAAAAAATCCCCGGATACGAAACTTCACGAAATTAGCTCGAGGTAGCCGAAAGATATTAAAGAAAATGTTAGGTTTTTATTTTATGAGCAACATTGTATATGACTTTTGCCCAATAATTTTTCGTCGCTGAATCTAGTGGTAAAGTTTGACCCATTCTTTCACGCACACCCTGTATATTGACTATAAAGAAAAAAAGAAAAAACCCTGAACACGAACACGAACCTGAACTTAAAAATAAATTAATTACATCAAGATACGTGCGTTGTGAGAAATGCGAAAATAAATTGTGAGCCAGTAAAATATGAAGGATTCAGTTTTATGCAAATTTTCAAGACTCCAGGCATATATGCAGATAGTGCAAAGCACTTCCTCTATCCATCTAAATAGGGCAACTGATTAGAGATGATATAGCATACAAAATAAGGCAAAACGAAGCTTCCTGTTCGACGCCTACATCTTGAATTTGGCCACAGTATCTGTCAAGGGCGTCAAAAATTGAAAGTGTACACTTCCGGTCGTTCATCTTTTAAATGGTAGACCTCCAAAACGTGTTACTCAAATCTCATAATTATTTTGAGATTTGAAAAAACAGTATAAAAAATATTAACTATTTAAGAAATTTCGGCTAAAATATTTTATTTGTTAAGAAAAAGAGACGAGTCTGCTAGTAACAATAGGAATAAACATCCTGTGTTTATAAAAATGTTACAAAGTACAAAGATATTAGAAATGAACTGGAAATTTTACTTTGTGGTCGAACAAAGAAATGAAAAACAAAAGAATAACAACAATAACCTTCACATTATACGATCTATCTAATTAAATGATCATAATTTTCGCTGCAAAGCGGATTCAATCGACCATAGTTATTAAATTAAGCGTTTTATGTATCATAAAGTCACTAATGGTTAGTTTTATGTCCTTTCACTACAACCAATTTCTTAAATTCTTTATAATTCTTTAATTAGTAAAAGAAACGAATACTGGTCGTAATTACAGTAATACGTATTTTGTAATTATTAAAAATTATTGGAAAATTGTGTACATAAAAAATGTATTTTTACAAAGTTTTTCCTGGGCGTTTACCCATTTTAGAAATGCGCAATATTGTACAAACATTGTTTATTATGTATACAGATTGTTTGGAAAATAAGGTAACAAACTACAAAAAGGTAGAACAAAAATAAGCACAAAAAATGGTAGCAAAAATATTTCTCTACACACATAAAGTTTAGTTTTTTTTGATATATGTATATCAAATGAATTTTGTTTCAGCAGCTTGCTTGTCTTTTTTTTGTGGTAACTGTGATTTGTTTTGAGAAGAGATTCAAATTTTACACTTTTCAAACAATTCCAACGAACTGTCTAATATTAGAAAAATTGTTCTTTTTTTAAACTAAGACATTTTTTGTTTAGTATAATATAAACAAATCTCTTTATACAGGGTGCTTCGCCGAAATTTACCCGGTGATAGAACACCTCAAAATAAAACAATTCACAATACAGTGTTGCAGTTAAAAGAAAATAATTTTTTTTTCAGAGAAGAAAAACTGTTTTTAACTGATTGCAGACTGCACAAGAAATTTGTTTTTCGAAAATTTTTGTTTTTTGTTTCATCAATTTAAACGTTATTTGCGGTAAAAATGTGAGAAAACCTCAAAAAAAATTTTTTCCATTTTAATCATGATTATGAAGTGTTTAAACTCAAAAAACGTAACCCTTTATTTTTTTTCAAAAGTTTGTTTGAAACAAAGAAACGGTTCGCTAGTTCGAGATGAAACTTCACAGGGTGCTTGTGGGTATATCGAACTGTAAGTCATGCTTAACATTAGTCATTTCTTGAATATTTCTAATTTAGTAGTCAATTTTCTAAAAAACCATAAATTACTTTTTTCCTGTTTTTTAAAATTCACATAAAAGATGAAAAAAAATTTTTTCGGAAGGAAATTTATTCCAGTTTTCGAAACTGTCCTTCAATTCTCTGTACTACCATTTGTCACCAAAATATTGAAGACAAAAAGATCCTTTTCCATTAAAAGACAGATATTTCGATGAAAAATGGTCGTATCGAAATTTAAAAGGAAATTGAAGCTGAATAAACAAGCTATCTGGTCCACGCAATGGCTTGGCTGAAAAAAAAAAAAATTCCAAGTCCGTGGAAATTTGCAAATTTTTTTTGTCGCGCTATTGGAGCTTCAAAATGCTTTTTTTAATTCCCGATACGACTATTTTTCACCTAAATACAGTCGGTCAAAAATCACGGAAAAATTTCGGAAATTCTTTTGACCATTTAATTTTTTGCATTAGTTTAAATTTTTTTCTATTTCTACTGTTAGATTTTGAGGATTTGCTTAAAAATAATTGTCAATCAGCAACATAATAGTATAAAACCGAAACGTTGAGTATTATTTAATAAAAACCGACTTCTCTATGGACCCTTGTAAACTGAAAATGTGAGAGTAGTTTCAAATCCTGAAACGAATAAATAAAAAACTACTAATTGACTCACCTCCTCCTTGGTCGAAGATATCTGTCTCTTTTCTCTCCCATGGTATATCTTGGGCTTCACCAACGTATGGCGGCTGAAATCGGCGGCAGGATGTCGTTCCGCTGCAACAACACAAAAAAGTTTGTTAAACTCTCGCCCACTTCAATTACAGTCTTTTCACACCAGACGGAATAAATACGGCCAATTTATTTTCACAGAAATGTTTACAGACCCACGCTCCTGATGAAAGGTTTTCATAAATAGCGAAAAATTGTGATAATATAGGCACAATTACGCGCTCTAACTATTAACAATATAATTTTTAAAATTGACGAAACAGTTTTTTAATTGGACTGAAGACTATTAATGACTGTTGTTTTAGTTTCAAAATATTACAGTTATTACAGAGACATGTCGAAAATGGTTTTAGGTAACAAGAAATTCAAATTATAACAGTTGGGATCATCAAGGTACTCGTATATCGATTAATCTAGTATGTTCGGTAAAATATGCCCCCTGCAGAATATACAACCCTTTATACCTCTGAAACCGGGGTGACGAAATTTTGTTTGGTTTAAATGTTAGTTACATGTCACTTTTGTATCGTAGTCAATGTAGCAATCAAGAGGAAACCATTGGTATTTTGAATTTTGGGTGTGAATTTAGAGGGAAGAGACAGTAAATCACAGCCAGTAAGGCTCAACACTGGATAAATGAAAAATAAGTATTTTGAATAGTAAAAAAAATTTAAATATGTAATAAAATATTCAATTTTCAGCCTACAGGCGCCCACCACTGTAAATCAGGTACTGCATTCACTACTTTTGTGCACAGGGTCAGCTCAACAACATAAAAAATGGCAGAGTAGGTAATGAATTTTTAAAATAACACTAAATTTTCCGATTTTTCCGGGTTTTCTTCTTTTCTAATTATCCGATTGAATCGATCAATCTCTCGTTTTATTCGTGTTTCAATTCTTTATAAATTGCCTCATTATAATATTCAGATTGCTTCAAAAAACTTTAAAACATGCGTTTTTTGCATAAAAATGTTTATAAAAAATTAATTAATGTTAAATTGGAGTGGGAAACATATAAGCATATGTATATCTATAGATTGTCTTTTATATGATAGCACCGTCCGTTTGCTACTACATAGTATTTTTGTCACAAATAAAACCTCTATTGATTGGCCTATAACATAATTATTAAGCTTATGATTTTTTTTAAATATGTCTATTTACCAACGCTTATTCTTTACGATAAACAAGTATATAACAACCACCTTTAGTGGTACTTATAATTAGACTAATTAGAGTTTGCCAATGTGGATTTTGCAGAGAAATAGACTCCTACAGCTGCTGTATTGGGTATTTTTATTAAACCTAACCTAATTTTTATATTTAGTGTAGGTAACATTCCTATGTCTGTGGCCTATGGTAAGCAATTTTTATTATTTTGGCCGAAATATGTACTTAACTTTCCGCTACTCAACTTAATTACTTAAAATTAGCATGTTACACCACTCCGGATATTTCGGCGATTTAATTAATTACCTAAGTTTCTCTTGCTCAGTAAGCATTACCCCAACTTATCCTATTAAGAGCCAAAATTGATAAACTTGTTAATTTAATTTCAATACAAGTTTCATAAAAACAAAATAAACAATCTATAGATCTATCCTACGTTGGTGCAACAAAACATACGCCCTTTGAGCTGTTTTGACACAAGACGGAATAAATAAAAACTATTCTGTAAGAAATATTAACTCTGTTCAGAGCCTTGCACACAGCGCGTATCCAAACGCTTAATATAAAAATATAAGACGGTTCTAAAAATAACAGCACTTAAGAGACCGGGAATTGTTTGTTTCTCCTCAACTTAAATTCAATATCTCTGGTTTAATTTATATTGCTCCAACAAATACGTCCGAGTTTATTCTATAGCAGAGGTGTATGAACTTTTTTAACTTTCTTATATGTGTTTTACTTTCATTAAAATCTATCACTTTGTTTATTATTTCAACCAATATACAACTATATACATATTTAATGCGGAAATAGCAGAAAAGCAAGTTGAAATCACCGACTTTAGTGATTGTTGTTGTTCGGTCAAAAGTGGTAAAATGAAGTGGAATGTATACATAGTGAATTCAATAACGAAATTTCTACGGTGGTCAAAATTAACACAAAAAGTTGTTATAAATTGAAACTCAATTTCGATTCTTTTTGAACAAGATGAAGATGACCTGTGACAATATTTTGTTTACCTACGACCACTACTGTAAATACTTAAAAACACACCGTCTGCGATCAATGTAAGATTCCTATTACGTACGGTAAAAAAATCGCAGTTTTCCTAGCAACCGCCTAGCAACAGCCAATACAATACTGTTTGTATTGACCGTTGCTAGGCGGTTGCTAGGAAAACTGAACGATTTTTTTACCAAGCTGTGCGATTTATTTACCGTACGACGTAATAGGAATCTTGCACTGATCGCAGACGGTGTGTTTTTAAGAATTTAAAGTAGTGGTCGTAGGTAAAGTATAGTACGTAATACGTGGTGTAATTCAATTACGCACTCATAGAATTACGCACTCGCGTCGTGCGTAACTTTTCCATTCGTGCGTAAAATGCTTTTTACAACACTTATTACGTAATATACTATTATCCGAGGGGCGATCCGCTAAGGAAAAAACGTACGAAGATTACAAAATTTCTGAAATCTCTTGTAATGTATCTGCAGATTTCAATATCGATTAAAAAAAATTACAAATTTCATATACATAATCAAGATTACAATATCTTTCAACCGATTACAAAACATTTCAGGAGATTTCAGAGTTATTTTAGTAGATTTCAATGATTATTTAAGATTTCAATAGGATTATTCGAAATTAAAAGAAGATTTCAAAATTTCTTAATAATATTTCAAGGAATACGGGAAGATTACAATAAGTTTTGAATGTCCATTTGAACAAAAATAATTGAATTAACTTCAACTGTCATTCATTTCATTCATTAACAGTAGTGCTTTGATTAAGAATTTCCAGTATCATTTTTACGCAAAAATTGTAACATTCTGATTAAGTTTTTGTTCGAATGAACGTTAAAAACTTTTTGTCATGACAAAAATGATAACGCCATTTTGAAAGTAGGTAAGTATATATTTTTATTGAAAGATAAAAATATAATAATCCAATAAACTAATAAAAATAAAAAAAAAAAAGTAACATAAAATAAACATTTTCCCAAAAAATAAATAATAAGAAATATTTTAAGCTTTTATTAACACTTGTATTTAATACTTTACCTGTATACAGTGTATTTAAAAAAGACGCGGCAATATTTAAGGGGGTGATTGCCCAGATCATTTTATAAAAAAAAGTTCCTATAAACATACGTCCGCAAACGCTTCGTTACCGATCTACAGAATGTTGAAATTTCATTAAAAAAACAGTAAAAATTAAATTTCTCCAAAACCTCTTGATATTATAATGAAATTTTAGGCCTGTCAATAGCTATGGCAGACGCGTACTTTGCAATACAAAACGATTTTTTAGTCTTACCAGTGACTAGCTATTTTTAATGAAAAAAATAGGACCCCGCTGGTTTTTCTAAAAATATAATTTTTTAATTCCTTGTTCAATTATGAAGAAGAAAGCTTTCCTCAGATTATACGCACCGTACGTCACACCGTTATTGAGTAAAAAAATAAAAAACATTTTATTGCGCACCTAAACCCAATGTTGTTTTAATTGAGAAATTTAAATTATTGAACAAAGAAATTCAAATTATCAAATTTGATTGATTTTTGAAATGTGGTACATACTGTTGTTTGTAGTAGGTAATAATAAGGGGCTGCGTTTTAGAGAAATTTAATTTTTACTGTTTTTTAATGAAATTTCACATTCTGTAGATCGGTAACGAAGCGTTTGCGGACCTATGTTTATAGGACTTTTTTTATAAACTGACCTGAGCAATCACTCCCTTAAATATTGCCGCGTCTTTTTTAAACACACTGTATACAAGTAAAGTATTAAATGCAAGTATTAATAAAAGCTTAATATATTTTTTATTTATTAGTTTTTGGGAAAATACTTACCTACTTTCAAAATAGCATTATCATTTTTGTCATGACAAAATGTTTTTAACGTTCATTCGAACAAAAAACTTAATCAGAATGTTACAATTTTTGCCCAAAAAATGCCTGATACTGGAAATTCTTAATCAAAGTACTACTGTTAATGAATGAAATGAATGACATTTGAAGTTAATTCAATTATTTTTGTTCAAATGGACATTCAAAACTTATTGTAATCTTCCCGTATTCCTTGAAACCTTATTAAGAAATTTTGAAATATTCTTTTAATTTCTAATAATCCTATTGAAATCTTAAGTAATCATTGAAATCTACTAAAATAACTCTGAAATCTCCTGAAATGTGTTGTAATCTTGATTATTTATATGAAATTTGTAATATTTTTTGAATTGATATTGAAATCTGCAGATACATTACAAGAGATTTCAGAAATTTTGTAATCGTCTGTTTTTTTCCTTGGCGGATTGCCCTTCGGAACACACCAATCGCACCATATAGGTTTCTGTCGAGGTTTCTGTGGCATTCTTTGGAAAATGAGGTGGGGGGGGGGCGTTGTATAACGACTACATCGACGAAATTCGTTAGCTGATTACATAGATTACAGCGAGGATTACAGATAAGATTACGTAGATTACAGACAGATTACATAGATTACAGATAAGATTACGTAGATTACATAAAGATTCCAGGGCAAACGTACGAAGATTACATCAGCGGATCGCCCCTCGCTATTATCATTACCAAATCTGGTACACGTTTTTGGTTATTGACACATGCATAATGGACTACAAAAAAAATGTATAGATTGCGTTGATCCCACTTTTCCCAGCCATCTTGATAAAAATCGATCGATTTTTTTTTCTTAGAAAATGCAAAACTGAATAATGAAAACAACCTCTTCTTGACTGACCCTTTTGGGGCAATATTTACTAAAAATTTTTTAAAATATCTGTTTCTGAATAATTTAATTTCTTCTTCTTTTCAGTGTGGTAAATAAAAAATATATACTAATTTGTCCCAA